AATAAACATTGATTAATACTAATAATTTCAGAAATGTCATTCGTTTTAAAATGGCAAATAAATTAATATCAAATTTTGTTTTGAGTCACTAATTTGATCAATAGAAAACTAAGATTTATATAAAAAAAATTACACTCAGTACCTATACAAATTATAAGAAAAAATTCCTGTATTTTAAATTTAATTAAGTAATAATAATAGCCTTTCTACCACAATATCTCATGCATTCAAATCAATATTACCGTAAAACGGGGTGAATTGAATTCGAGGGGTGAATAGATACAGAAGAGGGGTGAATAAATGTTGGAAAAATATTTATTCACCCCGTTTTACTGTATTGTTTCAATAAATTTTACGTTACATTTTTATTAATATGATGTCATTTCAAATTAACTAAATAAAATCAATAAATTCCCAATAAAGTTTTTTTTATCTTTTTTTAATACCACGTCGGTGGCAAAAAAGCACACGGCCCACCTTATGGTAAGCGGTTACCGTGGCCTATGTACGCCTGCAACACTTGGGGCATTACTTACATGCGTCTTGCCGACCCTTAAGAAACCTATTCACTCCCCTCTTGAAGAACCCCATGTGAAACGAGTTAAACAAGTGAATTTATTTCTGCAAGTAGGTAGACTACAAGGCAGCACTTTTACACGTCAATAAATAATGTTTTAGCCCACTGGGAAAACCACGGCAGGGAGTTCATTCCACAATCGGAGGGTCCGTGGGAGAAAATTCCTCCCAAACCATTTTGGCCCCAATGTGTGAGCGTGAACTCCCTGTCGATGGTGAGCTGTGCGATGATAAAAAGTGTCCGTGGGCATCATATCAAACAATTCCGCAACATAACCTATTATACAAGCGGTAGAACACGCACAAGGAGGCAAAATCTCTCCTTAGATTTAAGTGCTCGATACCGCTCGTAAATATAGGATCGTCGACAAGTCTTACAGCTCTTTTTTGGACCGCGTCAAAAGGTCCAAGCTGGTATGCTGGCGCTCCTACCCAGAGATGAGAACAGTACTCCATATGGGGGCGAACTTACGATTTATGTAAAAGCAGTCTTTGTCCCGGCGTGAAGTACCGCTTCGCTCTGTTTAGCACACCGAGTTTTTAGATGCCAGCTTGGCCTTGTCTTCTAAGTGACTACGGAACTGGACGTCACTAGATATGTCGACACCAAGGATACCTACCTATATTTTTGGAGATTTTAAGTGTAGTGTTTTGGAATTTAGGGGCCACATCGAATGGTTTTTTTAACGGTTAACGCACAAACTTGTGTCTTGGAGGGGTTGAACCGGACCATATGGTCCTGACCCCAATCGGAGACTCGGCATAAGGTACTCTCGATTTGAGACACAAGGTTTACACGGCTTTCTTCCACAACGGAACGAGGGATGTTTGCACGGCCCGTGTAAGATGCGTCCCCGGTGCTATCATCAGCATTTTTTTTTTTAAGCGGGGAAAATCATCGAATGACTGCTCCCGCCTGGGTGAGGCGGGAGGGAGTGTCAGACTCTTACTGACTAAAAACCACCCCGTTCCTTCTCCTGCACGTCGAGCCGGAGCCCCGGTTACCCGTTAGGTTCTCCGCGACTCCGAATCGGCATCGGCCCTATTGGGCCCCATCTGTGGTGGTCTGATGGCTCTTTGAGGCGCGCGCGGAACGCGACGCGCCGTACGCTCGGGTCTGTTTCTGGTCGGACGGGGAGCCACCCATGCTCGCCGTCCGCAGGCCCGCGCTTACGGTGGCCGGAGATCGTCCCGCGATCCCCGACGCCCGGTGTGTCCTTCGCGATGGCTGGGTTGCGAGGAGGCAGCGCTTCGCTGCCTCACGCGTCCCGCCTCCTCCTTAGCTAGCATGACTGCTTCGCAAAAGGAGGAGACGGCATCCCAATCCCCCTCGCTCCGCATCATGGCCTGCACTAGGCCCGGACGCGAGAGGTCGCCATCGCCGATCACTTCCCTGAGGGCACGGCGGTGCTCAGCCCACGCAGGGCATTCTCCCACTGTGTGTTCCACCGTGTCCTCAGGGCGGTCCTCGCAGTGATGACACCCGGGCGTTTCCTCCCGCCCCATCAGACACAGGTACCTCCCGAAACTTCCATGTCCGGTGAAGACCTGCATCAGGCGGTAGGTGAGGACGCCGTAGCATCTCTCAAGCCACTCCTCAAAGAGGGGACTTACCGCTGCAATGGCAGCGAGCCCAGCTATCATCAGCATAGCAATGAATGCCCTCAACAGACAGCAAATCATTGGTATGCAGAAGAAACAGCGTCGGAGAAAGTACGGAGCCTTGCGAGACGCCAGCGTTTATGTCCATGCTTTCAGAGCAACTACTAACTAGTTACTAATTACAATTTGAAATTAAATCGTTTTAACTTAAGTTTGGTTTCTTGTTTGTGGAAGTCGCCTCTGTTGAGTAGGCCTCCCCGAGTTTTCTCTATTTAACTCTGTCTCTTTCTTCTCTTCTCCTTCTCCATGTGGTCCCACTAATCTCAATAAAAATATCTTCCCATCTTCTTTTTGGTCTATCTTTATTTCTATTCCCATCCCATAGCATCCAATCCATAATCTTTCTGGCTCATCTATTGCATGGCATCCGACACACATGTCCTGCACATTTCCATTTATGATTCCTTATTTCCTGTGATTCTTTTCGAATTACATTTCTTACTTTTTCTGATAGTCTTATGCCGAGCATGCTTCTCTCCATTTTTCTTTGGTGTACAGATAGTTTGTTTTTTTGTAGCGGGGATGGGCCAACCTTTTGGCTTTTATTTTAATTAGCTACCCAAAAATATTAAATCTATATCCTTACTTCCTTACTATTATAAAAGTGAGTTTGTTTGTTTGTTCCACTTTCACGCCGTAACTTCTAAACCGATTGCTTTGAATTTTTGCAGGCGTAAAGTTAGAAGTCCGGAATAAATAATAGGGTACTTTTTATCCCGGAAAATTAAGATTTTCCCGAGGGAAATCAAAAGAATTTGTATAGATGGCGCTGTGTGTATTGGTATATGTTACATAGGCTATTTTTATCCTTTTTCGACGCGAGCGAAGCCGCGGGTAAAAGCTAGTATAATGTAATTCAAAGGTGACTGACTGACTGACGGACACATTCCGGAAAGTAGGAGTCAGCGGAAATTGACTCCGTTTGGCGGAGAATAGATACGCCTGGGGTTTGCTAGCATTGAACCTAACCAATTTGGCGTCACCCCAGTCGGAGACCGCCTTCAAGGTCGAGTTCAAACGTTCGACCATGGATTCTCTTAAAGACTGGATCTGTGTTCCGCTAGTCCGCGCACCGGACACATACCTTTCAACAACTGTGCTGTCATCTGCATACCCAAAGATACCGGGCTTAAGCAGGTCGTTTATGTGCAGCAAAAAGAGCGTCGCTGAAAGTACTGACCCCTGAGGGACGCCGGCATTAATACCGAATTGGTCAGACGAGCAGCAATCGATGACTACTCGTATTGACCGATTCCTCAGAAAGTCTGCTATCCATCTGCACAGACCAGTAGGAAGTCCATATGCAGGAAGCTTGCCGATTAGACTGTCGTGCCATATCCTGTCAAAGGCCTTCGAAATATCGAGTGAGACTGCTAATGCCTCCCCGTGCCCCTCTATGGCCTCGCTCCATATGCGAGTGGCATACGCAAGAAGGTCCCCAGTCGATCGGTTACGACGAAACCCGTATTGCCGATCGCTGAGGAGATCGTTACCTACAAGGTATGCCAGGAGTCTTTTGTTGAGTACACGTTCCATGCTCTTGCAGAGTATGGACGTGACCGAAATAGGGCGGTAATTATTAAAGTCGGCACGACTACCTTTTTTAGGCACAGGCTGTACGTTGGCCAGCTTCCATGCAACCGGTACTAGACCCGTCTCTAAGGAAAGGCGAAACAGACGTGTCAAGATTGGAGACAACTCAGGCGCACAGGTTTTTAAAACCAGGGCTGGGATTCCGTCGGGACCACTGGCCTTGTTCACGTCCAGATCGCGTAGCGTCCTATATACCTCCCTCTGTCGAATGCGAATTTGCGACAAATTCGTCTTGCATACGCTATTAAAAGAAGGAAGCAAGGCGCCACCAGTGTCAAGACGCGAAGACTCCACAAATAGAGAAGCAAATAGATTGGCTTTCTCTACCGCAGTGTGAGCCAGCGTCCCGTCAGACCTCAGGAGCGACAGAAGTTCGATTCAACCGCCTTGGCCAGGGACCAAAAAGCTTTACTTCCCGCTGGGTAGGAAGCTAGTTTGTTCCCTATACGGCCAATGTGGTTAAATCGAGCCATCCGAATACCTTTTTGCATGACTTGGCAGCCCGATTAAAGGCTCTCTTCTTTTGATGAATGTCATCAGCCCTACGGCGCCTGGCACCCGCCCATGCCAAGTATGCCGCCTGCTTTTGCGCTTCGGCACGTCCGCAGTCGGCATCGAACCAAGGACGGGTCCCACCAAAGGATGCCACGTCCGAGAATGGAATGTAGTATTCCATGCCCTGGCGCAGCACCCCCGTTACGGCTTCCGCACAAGCTGACGGGTCATCAGAAGGGAAGCAGACGGGCCGCCAACGATAGGATGCGAAAAAAGATCGCATCCCATCCCAGTCCGCTGACTTGTATCGCCACATCCGCCGAGGTCCTCTGGGACTCGGATCTGGTGGGGAGTGTGTGGATACAGATTTCACCAGACAGTGGTCAGAGCTACCTAGAGGTGATGAGACTGTCACCGAGTAGCGATCTGGATCAGTTGTCAGCAGAAGGTCTAAGCAATTGGCAGTGTGCGTATCGACATCGGGTACCCTTGTGGCTTCCTGGACCAGCTGGGTCAGGCTAAGCGAAAGTGCAAGCTTACGCATTTCCCTTGCAGCATGGTCGGTGCACCTGGTATGGGAATAACCACTCCTGATGATGAGCGTATTTATTTAGTAGTTATAATAGATTTGTTTCTCTCTAATCATTTAAGTAGTCAGGGATAAAAACAATAAATCTTATAAAATTGTATTTATTATTACAAGACAATGTGTAATATAAAAACTATTTAATTTACTTACGTCTAATTGCCCATTCCACAATATATAAAACTTCAACAATTCAACATTTGAAAATACACAACTGATTAAATATACACATATGATTTTTATTAAATACAATGTCTTGGAATTCTATTTTGCAATAGCCTAACCTACTTCCATTAGTGACAATAAATTCGTCTGAAATAGAATAAATAATCAAAATATATTTATTTGAACAGTAGGAGAAAAATTGTCTAGTTATGGATCCTTTTTGTGACTGTTTTTTTTATTGATATTTTCTCATAACATGCTGACTACATTCTATATACATTAAACCTGCTTTTGTTAGTAAGGATTTCATCCACATGTCTAAATAATTGCAACACACGATCACCACTTTATTTTAGGGGTTACTAAATTACGCCCGGTGTTACCTATATAGCATTCGATTATAGTGAATGTACCGAATACAAATAAAATCATAATTGAGCCATTATCAAAAACGAAGTGTTCTCACATTCTTACCTAAATAAAGAGTTTAAACATTTGAAATTGATTTCACACTTTTTAACTGAACACAATATAGGTAGATGTTTTTCCCAATAATCACGATCAAAGTTTTACCTACAATTATTTTGAATTTCATTGGCTTATGACAGCCAATATACCAACGAGCTGAATTCTTCACTATTTCAGTCATTAAGATTTTAAATCTGTAATTGGTTAAATGGATTATTAATATGAACCGAAATAGTGAAATAAATAATAAATTTTAACATGCACGAACTGGATTTCTTCCATTAACCATGGTTAAAGCACTTTGTGCTGTTTAAAATTTGCTGCTTACACAGTATTAACAAGTTTATTCAGACTCTTCATTAGCTTAGTCGAAATACGACACATCACAATAAGCTGTATATGTCTTTAAATATGTATTCCGCACATAAACCATAACGAAATAGAAACGCATGTAACAAAAAATTATATTGTTAGCGAAGAAGTTTTTACGCCTAGGAAATTACTTAATTTTCAAATCATGCTAGAACAATGATACTGCAAGAAACAAGTTAAATAACAAATATTATAGGTTGGTACATAATTAACGTGTCATGACTATTTAATTCTGTCACAATTATGTCATTTTTATACATATTATTTGTAACGATATTCACAACATGGAGAATTGTCCTTATTATTTAGGTATAGTTATAAAATGTTACAATAACTTATTTTGTTCTTTAAACGAAGAAAATATTCATAAAAGTAGCATTACATATTGTCTTAAAGTAAATGAACTATTTGAATGTCAAATGATATACATCGACATAGACATTTGTACTATTTATTGATTTTATATAAAACTTTAATGTCCTCATATTCACCTTTACGGCGTCATAAAATAAGTTTTTCGTCAATTTACAAAATTTTTAAAGTCATTAAAAAATTACAATGGACTTAAAATACATTGTGAAAGTAACGTCTATAATTCAATTATTTGCGCAGACAATAGCAAACTGTCGATATAAAAGATTATCATTGGTTTTCATGTTATCTTGTGCTGCCGTTTTTATAGTATGGACCATACTGTATGGTAATTAGTAGGTAATTAATTGTGCTGGACCATTTATACAAATATTAATTAATTACATAATGTAATAATCACCATAACTTAAACTGAAAAATTGTCTACAGTTTCACAAATTCGCCTATAATATGTGTGAAAACTTAACTCCAAACGTCAGCAGAATATTTCTTCATAGACTCAAGCTTCTTGATAAATTGTGCAGCTTCAGCTTCTGTGCGTCCACCTTTTAGTTGGATAGTCTTTAAGACAATATTCCTTACGTCAACAGCCATATTCTTAGCGTCCCTGAAAATAATATTAGTTTTGATATATTGTCGACTAGTTACATAACATGATTGACAATTCCTAACTTTATTTAAAATAAATAATTACCCGCAAATGTAGAAATGTCCATTACGATTACCGATGACGTCCCATAAGAGATCCATATCTTTTTCTAGTAAATGTGTTACATACACTTTTTCTTTTTGATCACGAGAGAATGCTAAGTTCAATTTGACATCACCATTTTGCTCGTATTTCTCAAGTTCCTGTGTAAAATGAAAAAAAAAAATGTAATGTGATTGTATTTATGAATCTATACAATATGATACAACACAAAATGAATAACATTAATATGATATAATATATCAGAACATTCTGGTTACCTCTTGATAAATGTAATCCTGGTCGCGATGTCTGCATCCAAAGTATAGAACATTGTCTCCAACTTCCTTGCCATTCGCACGCGCGAAAGCACGTTCTTGCAAGAATCCACGGAAAGGAGCTAATCCTGTACCAGGACCGACCATTATTATGGGGGTTTGACTTTGCAGAGGTAATCTAAAAAAATGAGTTAATAAAAATATTGTTAACAACAAACAACAACAGTCAGATTATTATAAACTAGCGACCCGCCCCGGCTTTGCACGGGTGCAATATACATGTATTATACATATAAAACTTCCTTAAGAATCACTCTATTAAAAAAACCGCATCAAAATCCGTTGCATAGTTTTAAAGATCTAAGCCTACATAGGGACACACATACGGCGGATAGCGATTTTTGTTTTATACAATGTAGTGATATATATATAATTATTTTTACCGGAATTGTGATTTTCTGATAAATACGGGTACACGAGGAAGAGGCTTGCCGGGTTCGGGTTTGTTATCTGCTAACCATGTCGTTGTAACACCTTTGTTGACGCGACCCGTAGGTGTTTTATATTGAACAACGACTGCAGTAATATGCACTGTCTCTGGATACATCTAAAACATTAAAATTGTATTTACTAATAAATACTTTACAAAGACTCATTTCACTGGTGTGAATTAAATATTATAAGAAAGTTACCTTAGGACTGGATGAGATGGAGTAGTATCTTGGTTGTAGGCGAGGTAAAAGTTCACACAAGTGGTCCAGTGGAGGTTTACAAGATGGTACATCCTCTAAGATGTGCACAATATTTCTGCAAGCCTCTACAATAAATGATTGGTACAAGGCCTTGCCCTCTTGAGAATTAGTTGCCATGAGCATCAATTTCTTTTTGTCCTGTAATTCAAGATGAAAATAAAGAACAAGTGTTCAACAAATATGTAATTGAGGTTTAAAACTTATGAAAAGCACTTACTTCTTCATCTGTACAGTATTCAACCAACTCTCTTAATATGTGAGTACGGGGCAATGCAGTAATCTCAACATAGTGTGATAATGCAGTGCGGTAGGAGGTTGGGCAAGGGAAAGGATGTTTTTTGCTGCTTTCCTGGTCAGTGTTGATGAGAGAGAAGATCTCATCAAGGTTGGCCCCTGTTAATTGTCCTAGACGATCTACAAGGTTGGAGTCATTTATTGGGTACACAGCCACATGATCACCTGAAATCAAAAGTATTATGTTATAAGACAGGTTCTTTCTAATTTAACAAATATTTTGTTTTCCCCATGAGAAGGCGCCATAAACATTTTCACTTTGGGTTAAAAAACTATGTCACTGACCTGCTTCATATCGCATTTTGGAGTCTGAAATATCTAATTCGACGTGGATACAAGACCTATCTCCACCCTTATGTAATTCTCTATTAACTGTGATTTGGGCAAGGAATGGATTCTTGGCATCATAAGGTCTGAAAAAATACATTATACATAAATATTTTCACTTTATGTGGAACAATTTTGTTTTGTTAAATTCATGGATCAATAATATGGATCTTGAACACTTACGGCCTCTGGACTTGTAAGGAGTGTAATCTGGCAATTTCTCCAGTAAATATGTTGTTAGGCTGTATGTCATCAGGTCCATGAGTAACAAGACGGAACTGACGAATCAACTCTTCTTCACCAGTGCTCTCAATATTGAATTTCTCACATACAGCTGGCCAGAACTTTTCTTTCCAGGTTATAAAGTCATCTTCGATACTGAAAACATTATTAAAAACTTTAGAATAAACATAAAATTTGATATTAAAATATTGTGATTAAATTAATGTGAATGCAAAATTTATCTATTCAAATATTTCTGCCTAAAATTGTATCAGATTAAATTTAAATAATTAAACAATATAAATAAACATAAATGTTTCAATACATACTTAGCGTCATCATCTCCAAGACCAAGTTCAAAGACTCTTGTAGCGCCAAGTTCCTCAAGACGTTTATCTAGATATATAGCAACCGCATTGTAATGTTCATATGTCTTGTTGCCAAGGCCAAACACCTGAGAAATATTTATTAATACATTAACATTGTGATGTAACATCAATAATAATTGGCTGAAAATTATTTCAATACCTTACCACATAACGTAACTTCCGCATTGTAGGACCTAACAATCTTCTACATCCAAAAATGCGAGGAACTTTTATTATAAAATTCATATTTAATTTAGTGGCAACTAAATCTTGCAAAATTTTAATGTTCAATTTTAATATCAATTGTAATAGATCAATTAATTAAAATACCAAACATTTACTTTCAATTGTAAAATTGTGTTGAAATAGAAAAAATGTTTGAATTATATCATAATACTTATCAGACTCGATTTGGAATCATCAATGTTTCGATCATGTCAATAATATTATTATTTTAACATGTTGTGACATTGTGTTTACATGACTACTAATAATTTTATTATTTTGTCATGGTTGCACTTATCATTATCCCATAAAGTAAAAAAAAAACAAAATAATGTCCTTTATTTTAGGTTAACACTGAAATAATATATTTTAATCTATAAATCACAGCAACAACGACTTGTATAATGTTAGAAACGCGTATCACTCATTTATTTTATTCGTAATCAAATTCTTCATTAATAATATCAATAAAAACATGAACAGACACTTCCGTGAAATTTTTTACGGACTAAAATATGACTTTGACATTCAGTCATTTATTGGAACTGAAACTTCTGTTCTGAAATGTCAACTTTATCTTTTTTAACATAACACATGCCAACCACGATACAGAGTCTTTTTGCAAACATAAGTGTTGCCACTCACAAATATTATCGTAAGATGAGAAATAATTTATATAAAATGCACAATAGCATTGCGTAAATAGCAAATAGGGCTCAATCACTGTAAATTTTTTTAATTATTCTGTGAAACAAACGTCATCAGAAATCCTGAGCAATAAACGTGTATACAAGCAAGATGTGGAAGTATGTGTGTATGTGGGAAGTGTGTATCTTCTTAAAATAATACTTACGGCATAATTTAAACCAGTTAGGTCCGGTTCTCCGTTCTTTATCCATTCATAAAACTCCATAGAGTTGTCTGTGGGATCTCCTTCACCATATGTTGCCATACAGAACACAGCTAATGAATTCGGTATTTCTTGGAGTTTCATAAGTTCTTCCTAAAAAAAATAAGAATAAAAATAATTAGCAATAAGTATTATTATTCTAATTACCTATACAAATTATTCACATTGTTTTATCAAACAAATTGGTAAGATCTTTGTTCTCACGTGTTAGATATGTTAGTAAATTCTAATGTAAAAAAAGTTGGTTTTACGTTATGTTTGCTTACCATATCACATTCTTCGGGATCAGCAACCATACCCTTCATCTTGTATCGTATGCCCTCCTTGGCAAGACGTCCAGCGAACTCCTCACCAGTACCCGTTTGAGACCCATAGAATACAACTAAACTTCTTCCAGATGACTTTAGTTTGTTTATGAAAGAATTTTCAGTAACTTGAATGGATCCCGCAGCCCTGTAGATAAAAAATTATATATCAGTCACAAATACTATATCTACCAATATTTTATTTAAAACTTGATAATTTTATTACTTGCTGACAGAAAGTACAGCCAGTCATTTGGTATGTAGGTACGAAAATAAGGATTGATTCAGTGTAGAAACAGTAACCATTGGTTATCGAGCCGACTTTGGATGGATATAACTACAACATAATACTTTTATCTAATAAAAGATTTGATATGCACCAATTTGAAGGAAGTCTATACCTATTTTATGCACTAAGAAACATAATTTTCTGTGATCCCATGATTGATTGATGTGAATTCAATGAATCATGAATATTCATGCTACATAGTACAGCTACACATGAATTGGTTTGGTTGGTGTCATTTACGATTCAGGGAATTAACGTACCAACAATAAAAAGATTCATAGAATTATTGCCTACTAATTTTGGTGCGACGGGATTTTTGGCCCCCAAGGATATTTTACAGACATCCCGGTATTCGCACACTTGTTACAGCGCACCAAATATGTAGGTACATTAATGTGTAATATCACAGTATCGACATAAAAATAAGCCCCCAGACACATTAGCATGATTTAATTGCTGTTTATATCATCGTACTCTGACATTTGAGGAACAACAATCTGTATTGTATTCGTGATGATAAGTGCGCATTTTATGTCCACTTCCTTCTATCTCTTATCACACGTAAGTATAGAGATAAATGTTTATAAGCTGTACAGAGATAGGATACGCATTATATAAGTTTGAGTCACTGACAATATAAAATTACACAATACCGAAAAATATTTTACGCGCTCTATTTTATATAAGACTACGATTGTTTGATTATTTTTTTTAATTTTACGTAATCTTACTTGACTACTACTATGGCCATTAGAAAAAACATGAATTACTGACGATTTATGACGATTAACACTGTTATATAACATTATTTGCAACATTGTGAACAATTCTGATAATTCTTGATTGAGCTCCAATTTAGAGGGTTATCAGGTTATGGTCTTATGGGTCATGGTCAAAACAGGTTTAGTCAGTAGTAAACCTTGTACCTTGATCACAGAACATGTCTATGAGTTGAAACGTTTCTACGTCTAACCTCTATCAATGATTTAGCATATGAATTATGTTGCTCTTGAATGATAAACGTGGTATGGTAACGATACCGTCAGCCACTGTCTGTGGACAGACAGAAATATACCCACGTATACGTACAGATGATGTTGAGATGATGATAGGTATTAACAGTGCTCTATTATAATCTATCGGCGGAACATTAATAAGTCGTAACTACATAATAATATGTCATTACCATTTGTATATGTAAGTACCTACTGAATTTTTCGTACGTTTGGCACAGGTTAAAACTGCAGTTAAAATATGCACACAATACTTTTTTATAATGCAACACTGTAAAGATAGATATTGCTATCTTTTCCTACATGGAAATGCAAATATGCCTGAGTTTAATCTGTTACTCAGGTATTTAAGAATACATAGCAGCAGTATAATTAGAAGTACATACAAATCACATATTTATTCTGAGTGAGTATGGAATTATTAAGTGGTACGTGGCGTGATCGGTTTGGTAGATAGCTTACATTACAAGTAATCAAGACCTATAGATCCAATAATATCCTGGTCTAATAATTGCAATAAATGATTTTGACTTTGACTTTGAATATATTCCTTCTTTACTTACCTGTTTACGCTAAAACTTCTTCAACCTTCTTTTAATTTTGCATAATAATAATATGTTTAAGTACATTTATTTGCGAGTACGAATAAAGCCATAGGCACAATCTAGCAAGCAAAAACTATTTTCAGACGCTTTGATATTGTAACATTTGTACCTTACGAAGCAGTAATTTAAGTTTACAACCAAATTACAGCGTATCTGCACGTTCATTTGACATTGACAGAATTTTCGCAGCGGGTGAGTAGTCATTTAAGTTACCTACTTATTTACTTACTTAACTGGCGGTGCAGTCTAGTTAACTGTGCCAACATTTACATGCAGCTACTATTCACGATTACAAATGAAATAGAATCAGTTGGTCTGTGGCTTGAGATTTTTAAATAATTATTACCTAAATTAAAAAGTTCTGGTACCTGATGCTGGACGATCTAGGTACTAGTCTAGTAGTTATGCTACAATAAAAAACCTAAAATTACCATATATTTACCCAAGAACCCTATATTGTAAGTTTTAAATACATAATAGTCATCCACTTTAAATATCCAGTATCTACATTATAAATAATACGTTTATTAATTAACATAGAAACTTATAAATATGCAAAACAATACAGAAATCCTGTACAATACCAAAATTTGATAATGAATTCTACGAATCTATATTGTTAATATGAAATAAGATTAACTATAAGTATTCATGTTACAACGTGTGGCAATAGGTGGTAGATTACCTAGGACAAATGACAAAAGAGTAGAACAATCACAATACAAACAGAACTTTGCCGATAAGATAGGTATGACCTATCGAATGGAGTCCATCATGATGAAATAGGTACTCAATGTAACTAATTAAAAGATTTACTATCGAGGATCGACTGAACATTAAGTAACGACTCGAAATCCCAGTGAAATCTCTTGTCTCACATATTTTACTGTAAGTAGCACTTAAAACAATATGAGCTGTAATTTTACTACATTAGTGTTTTAAACTACCTAGCTCCGTTGTTGTATGTTCATTCCCGTGACCGTACATAGTAACATTTATTGTTTACATAGTTTATTTAAGTGTAGTACTCGTATTTATATTTCAGTGTTTTTGCCATGTCACGCTACGTGACCACTTTTGCGAGATTATCGAATATCACCAAGTAGGTACCTCTAACTTATTATTACAGATTCTATTGTATGCAAACCAAATAAAAAATATGTAATTCATTCAACCTCTATATACACACAGAGTATTTCGTAATTGCAAAGTTTTCGTATGTACCTATTTATCATTAACATTATCATAATGTGTGTGTATGTACGTGATACGTACGTGCCAAGAATTTTTATCTGGTGTCGCTTTGATTTCTTTCCGATTATAATTATTATATAATCCTACTAATGAGTTAAATCCAAACGCTTGATACCGGATTTGTGGCCTCAAGAGAACTTGAATATGTATTTTTTACAAAACAAAAAATATCGAAGTGTGTAGATACAGGTAGAGGCATACATAATGGGTTTATAAAAGGTGAAGATAATAGATGAACGGCGACAGCGATGATCATTCTCGTGCATGTAAATAATTTTTAAATCGTACGTTAATGTTGTTAATGGTAATGTTTATTTCATTTATAACATTCGCACGTAATCCGTAAATACCTAGCATTGTTACCAGCGTAAAAAAAGATAACAAATTAGTATCTTAAATATTTAATACCTACCTACTTGAAAGTAACATTATGTAACAGATAAATGAGTTTCACAAATAATAACCAACGTTAAAACTTTCATTATAACTGCACGTAGTAGGTACCTAAAAAGTAGGTAATACATAAAAATATTTTGATTTTAAACGGTGCTTAATAAAACCGTTTAATAAAAACGTATCTAATTATAATTGATGTTAGGTCTAGGTATAGACTTTCCCAATAAAATTGTAATACATGCGACTCATGACTAGCCATGATATTTAAGTAAACTGGTGAAAATTGACTGAACTACATTATAACAATATGCACCACTGTCTACCCTTTCCGGGATTTGAAAGCGTGAAGTTAGTGTGTAAGTTAGGTAGTTTGTGAATTCTCATTACAATGTCTTAATTAGATACGTCTTAAAAGCGGAAATGTAATTGAATTTTATTGTTTTAAGTTACAATAGCATAGCAAAATCAACATTAGAAGTAAGTACCTATGACTACTAGAGTAACTACAGTTATTTAAAAAATGATTCTAATCATTTTATTCACCCAAAATGGTAAATTGCTACCGGTCTTATAAAGTAGAATATCATATTTAATAATATTTATTATCTACAATTTTATCTACGCAGTTACTACCTACGTAATGAGCGCACATGACAATTACAAATGTTACAATAAGTACTAGGTACCCATTATTAACACATACAAATTATAAATATGAAAATAATTTTGTTTGTTTGTTTATTTATTATCTCTATACGCTTTATCCAATAAAAAAAACTTTATGAATTTTTAGATTTGCGTAAAGCCTGTAGCCTAAAATATGTTCATAGGCTAGGACAGGCGAAAAGTGAATATTTCATTAACAAGTCCGTGAGGATGGACGAAATTTGGATCAAGGGTCGATTATAGTTTAGAATAGGTAACATATAGGGTGATGTTTATTTTTATCCCACGGTAACACTGGTGAAGCTAGGTTATTACATAAATCTGTACGTATACACAGCTTCCTAATATAATCGTGCTCAGCTGCTAATATGCCATGTGCGAGTGATATAGACTTGTTATTCAGTTCACTCTGTACACTATTTGTTAATTGAAGATCTGAGTGTTTGCATCATCATCAATTTAAAACAAATTGAAGTAACGCCCAAAGTTCTATGATGTTGCACTTAAGACTAGGTAAAGAAGCGTTCTTTTTTATGTCGATTAAATAAAAACCGGCCTTCGAATGTTTGAAGATAAAACTTGTACCTAACTAAATGACGTCATATAAGGAACCTGCATAACTACAACGGCATTGTTACAACATGTGCCTACATACCGAAGTATAAAAATAGATTCATTGACGGCACATATGTCATGCCATATTGTACCAATTTTATGACTTGATTTGAATTTATGAAGTAATCATAGTCACAATTTTATCACAAAAAAATTCTTGGACTTTTACAAGACTCGATAAAAAAGTATAATCTTATTAGCATCAATGTAGAGGTAAATGAATAAAATGTGACATTGGTTTTACCGGTTCTAGACTACGGAATTTCCAAAAGAAGATCTTTGTACCTATAATTAGGTAAACTTATTTTAAAAAATGATGAAAAAGTATTACGAAATGTGGTCGTACTATTGAAAAAACTATTAAAAAACAAGTCTGGCCAGTATTATTACTATACAAGCATACACTACATAGATTTATACACTGGTAGTAATTTATTATAACGTACAATTTTTAGTACAATGCTAGTATTTTTATATCAGCCTGTGAATGTAATAAATTAGAATTTACGTATGATTTACACAACATCTAAAATTACATCAAGATAATGTTGCATTTCCTATTTCTGCGGTTACTTCCGAGTTCTTAGATTCATAGTAAGGAAGCGAGCGATGGACTTCCGTATATATATTTATTAGGTACGTATTTATGTATGTATCTGTATGTAGTAGGTAAGTAAAATTGTATCGTATACTTACAATCATAATTATCTTGATAAATATAAAAATGCACTTCGTTCGTACCTACTTTGTGAATGTCAAATGATACCACAAAAGTGAGATAGCATTTTTCATAATCATTGTTTAGTTAAATATTTACCTTTTTACTTGTTACTTATATTTATAAATCTTTTAGATAGGTGGTACTTAAGTACCTACTGCAGTCTGTGTACTATATACTTACTTACGCATTTTCGCAACTACATTGACTTGATGAAATTTAGAGATATTTATTTAGTTCGTTACTACAATTTATTTCTTAACATAGTTATCGCATAAGTAAGTAAGATAAGCATAGTATCATTGTATTTTTCTAAGAATAACCAGTGTTACTTTTCCTTTTGAATTTGCTTCAGAATATTTACTTAGTTAGTTAGTCTAAAGTTTCATAATTTTTGTTCAACTTTCAATATTTTAACTAAGTTCTTTTGTTAAATTATTACTTTTACATTATACTATATAGGTACCTATAATCATTATTATTTTAGGTTCGTACATATAGGTACAAAAACTTAATTAACAACAAACAGTCAACGTAATTACAAAAAATAAATTCAATGAAATGATGTCTATAATAAATACACCTAATTTATTTCTTTTTATTTTTTTTTCTTGACAATTTTAATTGACATTTACTTAATTTTTATTATTTTATTATTATTGTACAAAATTTATCTCAAATTGTAATATTCGAATAATGTTTCTAATGTAAGTATGTACCTAATATGTTTGTATGTCTATTACGGCAAAACATAGTGGACTATCACTATATATTATTATAATATGTAAAACTGAAGAAGATTACCTACCTATGATTGATGACTACCTACCTATAAATGATTCTGATCCTGATTCTGACCTAGCTTCCTGAGTTTTATATTCTTTACAATAAATACTCACGTAATTATTTATAAATATACCTATAATAGTGGAAATTTAACCTGCTTTAATAGGCACCTTTACTGTGGCATTAATACCTATATGGTCCTGCATTTTATTTAAAATTAAAATAGCTGCAATCACCCGCGTTTGCATACTTGCATACTACAAATATACTTAGGTATTTACTTAGTACCCGACCCGTGCACTACGCAATCGTACTAAAACAATATAATTTATTGCCCTGCATAATTATATAGGTTCAGACAGACAAAAGAGGGTCATACATTTTATTATCAACAGCGAAAATATCAGCGAATATGACAATTAGGTAAAAATATTGACTCGACCAAAAAACATTTTTTATTATTAAATTTAAATTGAATCTTTATTGATTTAATTTCGTTGAACGTAAGAATTTTAAAAAAATTCTTCTTTGCGATTCGTTTTGTCTGTATTTTATTATATTTTTTAACATGTTATATTGTCTCACTGACCTTTTAGTTGCCCAATTTATATTTAATCACTTTACACATTTAAATGATAAATAAATAACAAGAAAATGAATAATTTATCTAATAAGCAAGTGTCAGTCAGCCTGGCCACTAATAAATAGGGACCGTCAGTGAGACGTCAGGATCCGTGAAAAAGATTTAAGTAGGTACGTACCTACCAACTAACGATATAGTTACAATCGCGTAATATTAATTAACAATTTATTAAAATTGGCATTACCTACGTAACCCATTGAAATAAAACATCAAGTAAATTATAAAAAGTAATTAAGTATTAATTAAATACATATTAATCTCGTCGTTTCAGTAAGTAGGTAAACATTAATTACCTAATAATTTAGTGTGGTAGATAATTAGATAGATACCATTCGCATTCCTGGACTGAGCTATGTAATGAACTGCTTACAAAATCGCGTTTTTCATTATTAAATGCTGCGAAGTAATATCTATTTTATAGCAATCAATCATAAATATGTAAGTAGTGATAAAATGAATTCTAATGTCACGTTTGCCTCATAAACCTTAGCAATCAATAACAAAAATTATTTCGAAATCAGGTACTTTAAACTAAAGCTGGCAACACTGGCTTATTGTTCGAGCAATCGAGCACCATCCACTGACATAATTGCTGACCCTGACCTTCCGTCGCCAAATGTAAGTAGAATATCAATTGTGTGGCGTAGTTAATGTTTCAGTTTAATGCAGACCTCACGTCACGACCAATGATAAATAAATTACTATTGCTATGTTGAAAGGTGAAAACTGCCTACATTACCTCAGCAAACATGACGAAAGTAGTTGAGGTCAATGACTACAGTTGCCATAATTTTTTTTTTTATTAGCGATTGTCTCAGAAGTTTATTCTTGTTTGCCCAATGGGTAACATTAACATAACCCATGAAGCAACTCCCTATCTAGAGAAAATAGGATTCAGGTGTCTGTCAATGAGAGCATTTGCTTACACTATTAGAACTAGTACCCACTCACCAAGTTTGAAATTAATCACTTATCGCAGTGTATATAGCTACATATGTCGCATACTCTACAACAGGACATGTAATTCGATATTTTCATTATCATTGTCATGTGCTTATTTTATCAAATATTTTTAAATCGCTACTTGCGTACATATTCATCACCAAAATGTTATTTCCGCCTAATCAATAATTATCACTATCAACAAGGCTGATTTCAGATTCCAAGGCAAAGCAATGTTTTAATTTATTGTAGACAGATCTTAGTTACCTATAACTATATGTTCTGCAATTTAACAAATAAATTATCCACTTTCGTTAAGTAAGTAGGTACTGCCGCTGCAAAAATGTTAAATTATTCTAATTATCACAATTTTTTATTATTTTTTTCTTAAGTTACTAACTCTATTTTAATAAACAGCAGTTTTTTTTCACATTACGAACAACGCAATTAATTATTTTGAAACCAGATTGTAAGTACTATTTATATCTGCGTCATTGAATCCCCTTCCCAAAGGACTTATTATCCTGTTGAGAAAAAAAGACTCAATGTCTTTTCCAATGACGTCTCACGTCACTAGTCACTTGTCTTGTTGGCTCCATGTTACTCACGTTCGTGTTCATCTCGATACACTTTGCTCAAGATGTGCTTATTTTTATTTAAATCAAACGTAGCCCGTCGTTAATCCTTTGAAAAAAAAACATATTGTATGTACCTACTAAATACCTAAATATAATTACAACATTTTTGAAATTTCAGCATATTTGTTTAACTTTAACTAGAGCACAATTAAACGTAAAGTCACGCTTTATACATACCAACATAATTTTACTTTACAAATGTCATGTTTATTGAAGACAATCATGATAGTAATAACAGTAGGCAAGTGTGAAGCGTAATTGCAAATACCAAGAACAACTACTTAATTGGCCGTCATAGTCAAGTCTCAATATTGTGTGCACCGAACAGATTTTGGAATTAAGTTTATGAAGACAGAAGAGATAATCATAAAATAAATAAAATGTATTTATATATTGCAGGTAGGTACATCACATAGATAATAATACTTACTGGATGGAATATTTGCTCAGCAGAATTTCATCTTTTTTGTTTTCCTTTTTGGAGTTGTATAGCCACCAGATGGTGCCTCCCAATAAGATAACGAGCACAATTATATCAAAGGTGCTAAACAGCGATCCATCAGCGGCATCGGCAGCAGCAGCGGCGGCGCCGGTTACCGCATCCTGTAGAACGTCCTGTGCGCTGTCTGACATTTTGTAGGTTATGTTTCTTTTCGTAATATTACGGAGTAATATTTTGTCACTTAGTTAAATGAATCAAGGTCACTTGTCAGACTTTATTTTTCGAGAGGACTTTACAACCGGCACATCCGGCGACAGCTCGCCCCACGACACTTTGTACACTGCACTGACACTGAAGTGACGTGATGGTTGGTTTCTAGTTAGTAATTTGATGGAACTATACGTTGAGAGTGAACGAGAACGATAGCCGACACGATCGGTGTACACGATAGCGCAAGCGAACGTAACCGAAATGAGCCGAAGAGTGCGTGTACGTGGGTTCTAGCGCTGCAAACGAGACCGTAGCTGCCTTGTACACGGCGTCACTCCACGTGCCGGCTGGAAGCATTTACTTTGCTTTAATTCACCTACGGTATCAAGGTTTACGAATGAAGCGTAATGGTACAAAATGTAGAAATGAACACGATACACTGGTCGTGCCGAGTGCACCACGGTCGTCTGCGGTGACGTGGACGCAAATGTGAAGCGGCACGAGTCGCCGACCGAACAAGTTTGCTGTTGCATCAGTGGCACATTTGTTTAGCAATTTAAAATAATGCTTAGGTGCAGACTTATCTGGGAGTGCATTAAATAGTACACCGTGTAACAGTTATTCAATTTTATTGCTATTCTATTTCACAAATCAGTACTTAAAAACGAAGTTGTTAATGTTTTTTTAATTTTTACATTTCGCTATAAGCACGGATGAGTTGACTCATTGAAATATACTGCAATAATAGCATCTCAATTGGTTACTTTACAGAAATAAATTGTTTCGACTGTTAAATACAATAATATATTAAAAAATAATCACACTTTCATTAATTGATATTATGACCAACTTAATTTTAGTATTTCTCAAGCAATTTTTTAAGAAATAAGTATAGGTTTGACGGTAAAAACCGTGACGTCACAATACGCAATCTCGTATTAAATTCATACTTAGAAAACTGTCGTTTTTGATAGTTTGAAAAAGGTTTTTGAATTTGACTAGTTTAGTTTGCAAGTACCCAATTGCAATATTGCAATTTCCCTCTATATTTTCCTTCAAATATATTGAAGACAAAAGAGAAACGTAACGTTTACTAATATGACGTGACAAATGTCACCTATTAGTACGTAGTTAATTCCTTCAAACTGTTTATGCAATAAATTAATTATTTATGCATGTATAAAGGACAAAAGCGAACAGTATGTAAAACTTTACAGTTTCCTTCACATTAATGTATGAAAACTTCCGTAAAATATAAAAATTCCGACCTTCAGGCAAAAATTCTCTATTTTGAGACAGGCTTGGTTTAAGTAAAAACCACCTGGCTATCTAATATCTGTTGTTGCTTTTACTGTCAAAATTTTATTTTAATACTGAAGTCACAAATCATGTAAAAATAAAATATCGTTTCCATTTTCCTACCTATCGTTTATCTATTATTAGATAAGATTCAATGACTAGGTCGTCACTAGACGAGTTGTAACAAGTTTCATACGTAATATTATAATATTATCTAGACACACGAGTTTTGCCAGTTGGTGACCATCTAAATATTCTATCGAAACGACTTCAACTTCCACACAACAGACAGAGGGTCTGGGGGTTAACAGAACTTGAATAACCGCAGATGGTTTCATGAAATACCCTTAAGTTCGACACGCACACTTGAATAGAATTGCATCTCGAAGAAGTACTGAGATAGATTTGTGGTGTGACAAAACCGAACAGCCAATATATTCATATTAGCCCATTATAAATGAATGTTACTCCAAAGTGATACTGATATAAGAAAATAATGTCATCACTGTTGTTTTGAAAAGAGAACCATATACCGAATGGAAACCAACGTGAAAAGAAAAGATAATATTGAATTGGATGAAGAGGAAGAGGACGGCCGTAGAAAATAATATAGTAGATTTTAGCGATATACCAGCTGGTAGGTATCAACAAGTGACATCAAATTACTTGTGATAGGTAAGAACTGGAATAAGTTCTCCATTTCGTTTTCATGTGTTTTTTTAGATCACTTTATGTTAACACCTGAGTTTAGCAAAACAGCGATAAAGGCGAGTGTGTCGCAGACCTTTATCTAGTGTCCTTTAGTTTTTAGTAAATTAATAAATAAATAGACAATATTTTCTAGGTACGTCGTTCCCCTAAAAATTACGTAAGTAGCGACTTTACTAAAAATAGGTATGTTAATACATACCTATTTTTATAATAATAGGTATGTCAATACACACCTATTTTTATATTATTACATCATTTCAATAGGTTTTTCATGGAATAGGAGGCAAATGAACAGACGAATCGCCTGATGGTAAAGATCAGCCTCGCCCATAAACACCCGCAACACCACACCGACTTACAGAACCGACGTGAAACAACGCTTGCGTTGTATTTCATCGTGTGCAATTACCCAATTCCTGAATCCCCAACAATCCTCAATTTCCAAATCCTAAAAGACTTGTAATGCCTCTGGTGTTCCAGCTGTCCATGTACGACGCCGATTGCTTACCATCAGGTGACTGTTCGTTTACCGGTTTATCCCATAAAAAAAAACCAGAGGAATGACAGGTGCGTTGCCGGTTTTTTAAAAAGTCCTTTAAGCGCATGAGAACCTCGTGCTCTCGTTTAGGTGCATAGAAAAAGGAAAGAACAATCATTTTATAACCGCGTATCGTTTACCTATATAAGCGATCTAGTCAATAAAAAGTTATTGGCATCGTGTTTTAGAGTAGTCAAACTTGTTTTAAATTATTCCATTTGAGTCACAACTCTAAACCTAACTCCGTACAAATCTAAAAAGAAAAGTAAATCTTTCGTTTCTTATTAGTATTTTTCAAGAAGCTAACATTTGTTACCAATTCTGTAAATGTACAAAGATGTGATTAGCGATATACCGTTAATATTTATTATCAAATGCCTAAGTATTATAACACTAGCTGTTGCCCGCGACTTCGTCCGCGTAGAATAATGACTTCTGATAGAATTCAACAGAATCAATTCAGTGCCTGTGAAATGATTAATCGTGGTTGCAAAAAATAAATAATCCCGCTGGGATCTTACCAGTACCTACAGTGCCTGTTTCCGTAAGGTTTCAGTGATAAAATCTATTCTATCGACTATTGTTATATCGAATCTCGCTAAATAAGTTTAGTGGTTAACAGGCCTAGCTTCACCTAATTTCACTGACTTTCTGAGATGAAAGCCTACGTCATAATATCTACCTACACGCCAAATTTCAGCCCGACCCGTTCGGTGGTTTGGGCTGTGCGTTGATAGATCACTATGTCAGTCAGTCAGTCACCTTTGAATTATATAACTGTTACGACTAATACCCGACGTTCGGCTACAATTAGTTTTAGCCGGTTAGAACTAGGTGTAGGCACTTACTCTTGGTTAAACCTAGTACGAGCCTTTTGTTTTCGGGTAAAACTAGGTCTAGCTTTCATCATGCCAGCTACAACTAGGTCCACAACTACAACTAGGTAACATATGTATATACAGATTATTTCTATGATACTTTAAAAAAATTCAAAACACGTTTTCTATCAAGTACCTACTTCTCAACCTTGGATAACTTTTTGTGAATTGCCTATTTAAAATATACAATCTAATCACATAATTGTGATAATCTTGCTTACATTGAACAAGGTCAACATAAGTTGTACATAAGTCAAATAAAATTACGCCATACGCCAATCCAGGACTAGGTACAGAAATAAAATAATTATGACTGTAATTAGTAGTTTGAAAAAACCATACATAAATGAATGAATAAATGCTTCCTGCATCTGTAAAGTAATTTTGATGGTGAGATAGCTAAAGGAACTTACAAAAACTGTCCTATTTTTAAAATTCTTTAGAGGCAGGCCACCGACCCTGTGACGCATGACAGCTCCTGTTTTCCCAATAACTTTACGTATGAAAAACAATGTTTGTACTGACGTGTTTTCTGTTCAGTCCTACTTTTTGTTTAGGTACGAAAAGTACCTACGTTAAATAAATCATGTTTAAATCAATTAAATACATATGGGGCTATTTGTTTCTATTTTCTATGCTATTTTGTAATATTTAGTTTTTGTCCTATTTTTTTACAACTAGTGAGTATTCTTGATTTCAATAACATGTTAGGTACTTCCGTGAAGTTTCGTATTCGCTTACGATTTAGAATTAGACAATCATCGGATTGTACGTTATTGTTTTCCTTTTGGACGATATTTGTCGGAGATTAACCTAACCTAACCTACCCAATAAACAGACAATCCATAAAAGTTGTTTTGGTTTTAGTTCATTGAGCAAAACAAAGTACTCTTCGGATTTATGACATTTTATAATGTATTTACCTGCCTAGTACCCACAGATTTTATTATTGTTTTCATTATTTACTTAAGTAAATCAGTAAATTGACTTCATTTCATGACTTGCGTACCTACGTATATTTAAACTGTTTAATTACTTACATCGCAAGTATTAAAAATTCGTTTACGCCAGCTTATCGGCACTATGACGTATTCTAATCATTAAAATATATTGATCGTCATACAAAAGTCACGAACTTATAAGTAATCTCTCAAAAAGTATTATAAATTCCTTGGTCATGATGATCTTCAAATACATTATACTTTAGTTTTATTTTAAAGCCACGTTTCATAACGATTTGTTTTCCTGTCACTAAATAAAATTGTTGTTTTGTCATTATGAGTGTCTGGTAGGTACATACGTATTTGGTACGCACTATTTAATATAACGGGAATACAAACTGGCTAATATGGTTGCTGTTTTCCATGGAAGTAAATTAATATTTATGAAGTCTATTTTTTTATTTTATTTTCTCCTGTGTCGTGGGTGCGTTTACAAATATACAAGTTGACATGACATTCACATGACACCCAGACCCGAAACAACAATTTGTGGATCATACAAAGAGTAGCTCCGTGAGAAAATAGAACCCGTTACACGCTGCGCGGCAGCCGGTTGCCCAGGCACCACGCTAACCGTGCAGTCAAAATGCTTAAATCACTGTTGAAAGTGCTATAGTGCTGAAATGCTGACCATAAACACATAACCGCCTTATACAAGAATAGGTGCTTTGCATTCTATTCTACATTATATTGATGTGGTTGCTTAATCTTACTTTACCTACGTGAATATATTAACTTACTAAGTAGCTAAGTTAGCTAGAAAATGTGTACCTTATTTTGAATTTAAGGAAAATACCTTGAAAGCAAGGTAAATGTTGCTGACTGTAAGTAAATACTGTCTTAAAAAACACGTAGGTTCATAATCTTTTCTCAACTAAGCTAATGTAGGTACCTACTTACGTATATTTTATTTGATTACAATTTTCAAAAATAGATAAAGAATAAGTTCTAAATGAAATTATTTGAATCTATACACTATAATACTTTAATCATGCCTAAATACAGAAATGTACTTTTTAGCAGAAGGTGGGTAGGTAACTAGTTCACTACAGTATCCACCTACAAGTTTACATGTTATGACTTGAGTCCAATGACCTAGGAGGTTACGGAAAAATTAAAAAAGAACTTATACTAGCACTCTGGCAATGAAACCAGTCACCATGATTTTGTAATAATTGGGGTAGGCAGAGACAATGAAACGATAAATAAATCCATTCAATCAATATTTTCATGTCTGGTTGTCGTTAACAGTAAATAAAATAAATATAGCAATTGCCTGTGATACCTATCTAAATATTTTAAAATTACGACCTTTGATCGGAACCTTCATCACATTTTATTCAAGCTGTTATCTTTATTTTTACTCGCAATGGTGACTTGTCAAAAATTAATCATCAGACGTTTAATCGTTTTGCCTATCACATCCTAGCCTAGCAGCGAGATAAGACGTCGAATATTGCGTCTGTCAATATCCTATAAATAAACATTTAAGCATAGTAAACAATCAGATAGATAAAATACTTGATACTTAAATAAGTACCTGAATAAAAACCCCTTCACACTTGACATTGTCCACAATGTCAATGATCTAGCTTCGACTTCAATTATTGCAACAACATTTCTATCGAGTTATACCGTCACTAGGGTAGGTAATTCAAAAGTTATTAAAGTGTTAAATAATGAAGCTGTTTGTATAATGTATAGTAATCTGTATTGTATATTGGTCGATTAAATGCGCACAAAAAAAATGTATCAATTAATTAACAAACTTCAAAACTAAGGAGTTTGACCTGTATATTTGTAAGTATGTGCGCGATTATCTCGTGATTGACTGAAGCGATTTTGATCTGGTTTCCAGAAAAGTGTTTTTTACGTTTAGAAAAAGACACATTAATTAACCGTCTTCAAAATAAGAGGAGAAGACGACGGTTGAAGACGGTTTCTCTAAACGTAGCGTATAAAAGAATTATCACACCGTGTACCTAAATGATGTGGTGGTTAAATAATTGTCTATCTCTAAATAGGTGATAGCAAAGCAGTCGTATTCATTGATCATGACCTTTATTATATCTATGATCATGACCATGTAAGCATACATTGCTTGGGTACTGCCTTACGACTTCAACACAAATTTTTATCTACATTTGTGCACCCAGGCCCAACCTAAGTACCTATTTAAGTCGCCGTTAGTCTGATAATACAATCTCCGCTGCTCCATTCAGAAGAGCAGTTGACCTATTAATCCGATGTATCCTTTCCACACGACATGGGTACATATTTATGTACCTACACTTTACCTACATATTATATTATGCAGGTACATACCTAGGTACCTACGCTAATTGTCTGCCTATTTAAATAAGTATTTACACACAGCAAACCTTATCGATATACCTATGATAATTAATAGATAAGTAATAATTCAAGTTTTTACGGTGATGAAATAATTTTATTTAACTATGCACAACATTTGTCGTATGATATCATTCGACCATTTTAGCAATTATTTCTAGATATAGATGATACTTAAATGATAAGCTATCTATCTGTTCCTTGATCTCTTTCAATCAAAGTCAAAGCATTTATTTCAATTAAACCATAATTGGTGTCGCGGAGAACCTAACGGGTAACCGGGGCTCCGGCTCGACGTGCAGGAGAAGGAACGGGGTGGTTTTTAGTCAGTAAGAGTCTGACAC